AGTATTCCTTCTTAGATAAATCGATTTTTATTTATTTGTTATTACTTGTATACTTTTATTATGAGGAATTGTTTTACATTGTTAACTTAGAAGACAAATTTAGGACTAGCTGAATCTTGCGATTTTATTGGGTTTACGACCGAAAACATCGCCAACAGCGAGATATCCCAACTGATGTGTTTTAATCATTATAAGATTTGTTGTCTTACCACTTTACATACTGCTAACTAGAAAAGGGTATTAGCTTTCTTTGATCAGAAGTTGATAACATATAAGACGTGACCACAAAAAATGTTTGTGTTCGTTACAGTACACCATATTGTCTTATTTCAATTACAGGCCGATCTGTGTGGAATAAAGTGGCGCCGCCTATGTGCCGACAGCATCTTATGTGTGGATCCGCTGGATGATCCTGTACTCTCCTCCTACAGCAAATGTCTTGCCGCCGGTATCCTTTGTGTTTGGCGTCGTGTAGCCTCTCGGGTCGGTCCCGACCCCCCATCGCCCAGCGGACACCAATCAGTTGAGTTACAACAAGGAACTATGGGTATTTTGGTACGGTGAAGAACCTGATTTGTCGGGGTTGGTTTTAGGACTAACAGGTACGTTCTTAGTTCATTTACAGTCACCCAGACTAACTGTATCCGTTTAGTTCCGATGGGCTTGAAACCCCTTAACCCTTAAAATTAAAGAAGACTAAATTATGCTTCTTCTAGTTTTGAATCGTTGACTATATTTACAGGTAATAATACTGAAATGTAATAAGATTATATATATATATATTTATCAAAAGTGTCACAAGTGACATTAACGCTGCTGTGAACGTGTGAAAGATGGTCATTTTAGTTACCCATTTGAAGCACGAGACATGTCGGTATGTTTAGGTTACGTTATTCCAAGTAACTTACGTTTAATTACTAATATTTACAGATTGTTGGGAGTTTTAATTGTTTAGTAATGGCTCCTCCAGATGATAAGTTCTCGTGTCTTTACTATGACACCATGGAAATAAAATTTTCTGAAAAATGAATCCAAAGTCAAGAAACCTTTTTCTTCAGTTTTATCCATTGTATTTTATATAAGCGAGAGTCACGTGATCTCTCTCTCTCTCTTGTACACAGCATTGTACGGTTTGTGGAGTGTTAGAATTATTTTTTTTAAATTAAAATATCATAACCACCGAATAGTTACTTTGAACAGTAATTTTTCCAATCGGACTGAAGGTGCTTATTTTTCTAACTTACTTTTAAAAAGACTGTTCCGTATTTAACCTGGGAATTTTTGGAAATTCCCCATTAGGCTGTTTGTTCCTCTAGCTTATTTTAAAGATCGTTCTGTATAGATCGTTTGGGAACAATTTGTCTCTCAACTATTAGCACAGCAAATAAAATGAACAAAGATGACAATGTTTTCGCGAAGGATGAAAGCAGGTGAAACAGCCATAAGTTTTTAAACCTCGTTAAAAAATAACAAAAACAACAACAACCCACTAACGTAGTTGAATGTATACTGATAATAATTGAAAAACCAAAATGTGAATCGCGTGCAAAAAACCAACAGTATATCATTTTTAGTTGTTATGGTGACACGGTCAGGGAGCCAAAACTGAAAAACACCGTTTGCCGAGACCAATCTTCGTGACAGTGATGAATGACTCTTCGGGCGATTAACCTTATAACTGAGGTGGACTTTTTACCCCAGATTGCCTCACTGTTGTCAATATTCGGCGAACATTGTGACGTACGTGCCTGCCTCGAAGATCAAAAAGTACCTGTTACAGTTCACCGTCGACCCGCACGCGTCGTTTATGTCGTCGCAGTATCGATCATTTATCTCGACCTCTTCGATCTCGGGAGACAAAACGTGGGCTTGATGTGAACAATGAATTGTGGGACAGAAAATATTTATGAACCTCAGGTTTTCTGAAATACTGTTTGGACTCGTTACAAACACGCGGAACGTCTCTTCAGTATACCACCTTTGGACTCGTTATAAACACGCGGAACGTCTCTTCAGTATACCACCATGGTTATGTAAGAGTAATTACCATGAAATTCTGGAGGATTCGAAAAACTACTATTGTAAATATATATATATATATATAGGTGAAATATTAGGCTCCGCGTCAAACCTAAGGTTTTTAATGAGGGTTTTAATTGTATTTTTATGACAATCATCTATTGTGCAGTGTTACTCCATACCTCAGTTTACAGTGTAACAAACTTATAGGATGGACGGCAAGGTCAGTCTTAGACCATATATCTTAACAATCTTTCCTTGATGTACATTTCTAAGACCACGTTTGAGCAAATTATAAGCACAAAAGTTCATCGAAGCTAAATTAAGGGTCAAGATAGGTCAAGTGGGACTACTGTGCTGCATTAGGGGTCTAGACAGGTCAAGTGGGATTACTGTGCTTCATTCAGGGTCAATACAGGTTAATGGGGCTACTGTGCTGCAACAAGGGTCAAGACAGGTCAAGTGGGATTACTGTGCTTCATTCAGGGTCAATACAGGTTAATGGGGCTACTGTGCTGCAACAAGGGTCAAGACAGGTCAAGTGGGATTACTGTGCTTCATTCAGGGTCAATACAGGTCAAGTGGGATTACTGTGCTGTATCAAGGGTCTAGACAGGTCAAGTGTGATTACTTTGCTTCATTCAGGGTCAATACAGGTCAAGTGGGACTACTGTGCTGTATCAAGGGTCAATACAGGTCAAGTGGGACTACTGTGCTGTATCAAGGGTCAATACAGGTCAAGTGGGACTACTGTGCTGTATTAAGGGTCAATACAGGTCAAGTGGGATTATTGTGATTCCAGCTTCTTCTAACTGGAAACTTTTGAACTTTAGGAAACTCTGTCAAATTTCAGTATTTGTTTATTAGTTTGTTAGCAGCACCAGAAGACATGCCCAGCTTCATTGCAGTAGTTTCTGGGGTAGAAGCATTTTCTCTCGTAACTTCAGGGTTTTCGAATGCTTTGGGTTAGGCTGAAGGTATGGTTTCGAAACCGTTCTGCTGTGTTTGGTTTCAGTTTCCACAGAGAACGTCAAAGTCATCCATCTTTGAAAAGTTGTGTCTTTTGGGTCTACGTTGTGTAATAAACTCTACTAATATTGCTTACTATAAAAGGACCACGGTACAATCCTCCATCCATACTGGTATTGTACATCCAATAGTCGGAACTTTGCAATAAATCGTCTGCTAAACGTGGCGCCACTGTTCGTATTTCTACGTCACGCTACAATATTAATGTATGCAGACCGCTCTTATTTATGTTAATTTGTTTGTTTCGAGTAATATAAACTCGGAGGCTTAAAAACTTGTAATAATAATAATTACGTTAACAGCATATTTGTTTTCTACTTCTACAGTCTGTCGTCCAGTCCAGCTGACGATTTCTCATATTGAACGAAAGCCAAAGGCCTCTTGGGCAATGACCTATGGGAGACAAAAAATAGATCTGAAATGTTGTTTTATACGCTTCTGATTTTGAATTCCAAATGGACAAAAAATTGAGAGGAATGAGAAAAACCTCTGCCGTTAACGTAATTTTTTTTTATCACAAATTTTAAATATTCCAATTTCTCGTCAGCTTTTGACGTTTAAACCGCCCTTTTTAATAGTACCACACATGCGTTAATTGAGTTATACCGGAAAATGATCACCATTTTTTTTAATGGTCGTACCACTTATAATATCTGTCTTATCTCGGCCGAAAAAAATATCGCTAAAAGCAAGGGTGTAATGATCAGTTACATCAGGCGTTGTTCTTCTGTCTGTTAAACCGGAATATTTTTCATTTATATATATATATATATATATATATGGTATTTTAAACTAGTTTTGATCTATGTATGGCATTAGGACTAGTTTTAGTTATGTCTGTTCACCTTAATATTCATCCGTTTGTCTTTCGACATACGTGGGCGCCAAAACGGGTGTATTACTACTCCTACACTTTCCATTAAATACGAGGTTAGCCCCACTTCTCACGGGGAGAGGAACGTGTATTAATGTCGAACAACGAAACGCTAAGCCTAGAGCAAATGTATGCGATCATTGTCAGCTTTGCCAGGATTAATAGCTCATGTAACCCGTTGTACGTATCCATTGAAGTAGTTATGTTGTTAACTTTGGGTTGGTTGGCACACAGTGGCCTGTATAGAAGCTGGACTCTAATAGTTGTAGGTCTTTAAAATGTTGTGTTTTTTAATCGTAGCACTGATACATAGTTGTTTATCTTGGCGTAATTTATACTTTCTGTAAAGCGATATATATATATATATATATATATATAACGAACGTGTATAAAAAGGCGAAAATTTTACGTGTTTTATTTATATGTAGTTCAATACAGAGTAGTGGACTTTTTCTGATCTTATTTATAATAAAAAAAAACTTAACAAAAAAAAACAGGTTAAATATTGCTGGAAGATGTGTTTATCTTCTGGAAGTTTCCAGTTATATTTTGAAATAAGCCATCGCATATTATGAAGATGTATTAAAACATTGTGTCATTAAATATTGTATCGTTGATATTGTTTATTCCCATCCCCCGGACTCGGGGGTTATGTCTGAAATCTCATGATAATAAAAATCGGGTTTCGAATATCCGTGGTGGGCAGAGCACAGATAGCCCATTGTGTAGCTTTGCGCTTAACAACAACTAAAAACAAACGAAATATCTATGGGTTTTTTGAGTCCTTTTTACTTTACCTGAATTAATTTAGCCACGTAAGCCTCGAGGAGGCGAAACTGCGGGTACAGCAAGAGGGTACGGCCAATCAAGAAATGCATTAGGCCTCAACGTCACAGATTCTCTTTTCAATTTCACCTGTGGCGAAAAAAAGAGATTTTAACGTAAACAAACCAAATATTGTTTAGGTCGGAGAACGCTTTCTTGAGTTTGGAAACTGACATTGTCAACAAGTAAGGCTTGTGTACAAGTTGAATATCGCGCGCGTGTGTGTGTGTGTGTTGTTTTTTTTTCAAACTTCTTTTTGAGTTTCTATAATTCTTTATGAATATCAGTTACAAAATTTCGATTTCAGTTAATACTTCGGTAATAAGTTTTAGATAAGAATAAGAACAGACAAATAACGTCGAATAAAGTTAGCAGACTTTTAAAGTGACCGAATAACTCGTGATAGTCATGGCAACCACGAGGATGATGTGGTAGAAAGACAAACCCAAAAGCTGTTAATTACAGCGAAGGGTTTAATTTTTGTCGGATCAAAGATTCGGAACGTATTCGAAATTTTAAGACTTCTCCGATTAGCAAAGCCCGTTGATATTTGGCTGGCCCACGTACTCCTTGCCCCACCCCCTTTACCAACTACTAGCCTCAATAACGTTTAAATGATCTTCCAAAAACGCACCCCTCCTCCTCCCCCACCCGATAATAGAGATACGCTTACCTTTTTTTTTTTTTTTCTTCGACGTAAGAAGTTAAGCTACTTCTTTCTTT